AATATTTCAGCCCAGTCACCCACTCAGTCTTCGCCAACGAGTTGGCGCTCCGTGACCCTCAAAACACGGAGCGCCAACTTGCTATGAGCAGAATTGCTTTGTGTATAAATGAAATAACTAAAACAGCTTTATTTAATCATTTAAATCTAAAATCAAAAATTTTCAACCCTAACACAGGTCAACTTTAAAAAAGAATACCTTCATGGCTTAACTCCCTCCTTGGTCTGCTCTGATTGTTATCTGCCATTACTTTTGAGGATGAACTCTGTTGTTCTGATGATGCTCGTGCAGATGCCATATTTTTCTATAGGCAGTGCTGTAGTAGCTGAAAGAGCAATACAGACTTTCCAGCTTGCAGTTAGGTAGTCCACAATGTTCAAACCATTCTCAGTGAAAAACCGAACAAACTGGGGCTCGTCACTGATCAGGCCATCTGTCATTGAGTCTTAGAATCTCCGTACTGTTTAATTGGAGGAACGTAAGATGATGTTTTAAGACAGATATATATTTTTTACGCCAAATATTCCTCTGCAAATCACATTTAAACTGATCTATCTGTCAAAATTGATATAACTGCACATTATTAATTTACTTATTAGTGTTTCTTCCAGTGTAACAACTATGAGAAATCTGTTTGCCTCCTCACCTTGCACGGGATGTCGCCATCAAAGAGTTCACTCTTGGCAATGTCTACCCTGTTCACTGTGACTGCTAACTTCAGTTTATCACTATAAGGGTTGGCCTTAACTAATGCACGCGGCTTACTTACTAGAAAAATCACAAACACAACAAAAATTTAAATAAGGATAATAAGTTTATGCTTCTGTTATGCTGTAAAATTATGGTCTATTTATATGTATCTTGCACAAGTGTTTTAAGCAGGACAGTGTCAAAGTCATTTGGACTCTCGTGCTCTCCATGCTAGACTAATCAAACCTCTATTAAATTCTAAAAGCCTGGTGACAGAAGATGGGAAAAAGGAACAGGAATGTTGGACACACACCTGCAAGATGACAGGGACAAGATGTAGGAGACCAAGTACAGATACTTTTTCTAAAAGTTTTTTTTCAGTGAAATATCAGAATCAATCAGAATCAGAATCAGAATACTTTATTGATCCCTGGGGGAAATTATTTTTTGTTACAGTGCTCCATTTTAAACCAACATTAAGACAAGACAGACAATACGCTAACTAAGAATAGTACAATATATACATATATATACATACATACATACATAAGTCACTTATAAATAAATAGTTGGAAAAGAAACATGTGTAGCTGTAGCAGCAAACAGTGTGTTAAGTGGATGCGTTGTACAGGGAGATGGCCACAGGCAGGAATGATTTCCTGTGTCGTTCAGTGGTGCTTTTCGGTAATCTCAGTCTCTCACTGAACGAGCTCCTGTGACTGACCAACATGTCATGGAGTGGGTGGGAGGTGTTATCCAACATTGTCTTTATCTTGGACAGCATCCGCCTCTCCGACACCACCTTGAGGGAGTCCAGCTCCATCCCCACAACATTGCTGGCCTTACGGATCAGTTTATTAAGTCTGTTGGCATCTGCGACCCTCAGCCTGCTCCCCCAGCATGCAACAGCATAGAGGATCGCACTGGCCACCACAGACTCATAGAAAATCCTGAGCACTTTCTGTCAAATGTTGAAGGACCTCAGTCGCCTCAAAAAATAGAGACGACTCTGGCCCTTCCTGTAAAGTGCTGTGGTGTTTTTAGCCCAGTCCAGTTTATTGTCAATGTGTACTCCAAGGTATTTATAGTCCTCCACAATGTCAACACTGACCCCCTGGATTGAAACAGGGGTCAAGTGTTTCCTGGTCTTCCTGAAGTCCACGATCAGTTCCTTGGTCTTTGCCACGTTGAGCTGCAGATGATTCTGCTCACACCACGTGACAAAGGAGTCGACCACAGCCCGGTACTCTGTCTCATCATCCCTGCTGATGCATCCAACCACCGCAGAGTCATCAGAAAACTTCTGAAGATGGCAGGTCTCTGTGCAGTGGCTGAAGTCTGTGGTGTAGAGGGTGAAGAGGAAGGGGGAGAGGACAGTCCCCTGTGGTGCCCCTGTGTTGCTAATCACCTTGTCAGACACACACTGTGGGAGACGTACATATTGTGGTCTTCCTGTCAGGTAATCAACAATCCAGGACACCAGAGAAGCATCCACCTGCATCGCTGCTAACTTATCACCCAGGAGGGTCGGCCTGATGGTGTTGAAAGCACTGGAAAAGTCAAAAAACATGACCCTCACAGTGCTCGCCGGCTGGTCCAGATGGGTGTAGACACGATTGAGCAGGTAGATGATGGCGTCCTCTGTTCCGAGACGAGGCTGATAAGCGAACTGAAGGGGATCCAGATGTGGTCTTACTATGGGTCGCAGCTGGTCCAGGATGAGCCTTTCCAGGGTCTTCATGATGTGGGAGGTCAGTGCCACGGGCCTGTAATCCTGGGGGCCACTGGGACGAGGCGTCTTTGGTACAGGGACGAGGCATGATGTCTTCCACATCACCGGGACCCTCTGCAGACTCAGACTCAGCATAAACAGTTTATGAAAGACTCCACACAGCTGGGGGGCACAGGCCTTGAGGACAAGGGGACTCACTCCGTCTGGTCCAGCAGACTTGCCTGAGTGAAGTCTCCTCATTTGCATCTCAACCTGGTATTGAGTGAAGGTGATGGGTGGGGGAGGGGTGTCAGGAATCTCACAGGAGGCAACATGTGAAGAGAGAGGCTGGCACAGTGGTGTGGCTCTGGATTCCAGGCTGACTGCAGGTGAGGTTGTGGGGGTGGGAGCAGACACTGTGGTGTCGAATCTATTGAAAAACAGATTCAACTCGTCGGCTCTATTCTCACCTCCCTCAGCTCCCCTGCTGTTGGTTGGCCTGAATCCAGTGATGGTCTTCATGCCCCTCCACACCTCTCTCATGCTGTTCTGCTGGAGTTTCCACTCCAGCTTCCTCCTGTAATTGTCCTTAGCCTCTCTGATCTTGTCCTTTAGTAACACCTGGACCTTCCTCACCTCCTCTTTGTTGCCCCCTCTGAAAGCCCTCTTCTTGTTGTTGAGGAGGGCTTTGATGTCCTTAGTCACCCACGGCTTGTTATTTGGGTAACAATGAACAGTCTGAGCTGGAACAATGGAGTCGGTGCAGAAAGTTATGTAGTCTGTGATACACTCATTAAGCCCATTGATGTCCTCGGCGTGAGGCTCACAGAGTGTTTCCCAGTCGGTCACCTCGAAACAGCCCTGTAGTTCCGCTATTGCCTCCTCTGACCACCTCCTAACAGTCCTGGTGGTCACAGGTTCCCTCCTCACAATTGGCACATAGCGGGGGGTGAGGTGAATCAGGTTATGATCTGACCTACCAAGTGGGGGGAGGGAGGAGGAGCTGTATGCATCCTTGACGTTAGCATACAGTAAGTCTAAAGTTTTCTCTCCCCTGGTGGGACAGTCCACATATTGTTTGAATGTTGGTAGTGTATTGTCCAGTGATACATGGTTGAAGTCACCCGAGATCACAATAAAGGCACTCGGGTGCTGAGTCTGTAGCCGAGCTATGGCAGAGTGGATAGTGTCACATGCAGCTGTGGGGTTAGCAGAGGGGGGAACATAAACAGCCACCAAGATGACGTGAGAGAATTCCCTGGGTAAATAATACGGCCTGAGTCCAACAGCACACAGTTCAGTGTCCGGGCAACAAATCCTTTCTTTGATTGTTATGTTGGCAGGGTTACACCACCGGTTGTTAACTAAAACAGCAAGCCCACCTCCTTTACGCTTACCGCTAGCGATGCTGTCCCTGTCCGCCCGAACAGTGTGGAAGCCTTCCACGGAAGCATTCTCATCGGGAATGACCTGGTGCAGCCATGATTCGGTGAAACACATCAGGCTACACTCTCGGTATTCCCTCTGACTCCGTACCAGTGCTGAGAGCTCGTCGATTTTACTTGCCAACGATCGCACATTTCCCATCACGATAGACGGCAGACACGGTTTAAACCTCCTCCTCGCTTCGAGGAGGAGGTTTAAACCGTGTATGTTTAAACCGTGTATGTTTCGCTTAGTTAAAATCAAAATAACTGCAATTCTGACAGAAGTCATTGTGCACACGTATTTCAATGGCCTTCGCCTTTTCTTCAACTTCATTGATGGTTAACCATTACACATTTGATTCAAAAAACAGCCAAATCTTTTAGACGGATTGAGTTTAAACAGGTCTGTTTACTCTTCTTTGTTAGCAAATGGCATGGGTTATGTAAGGTTAATAACAGTGTGAACAAAACATTGGCAGCTTCACAGGTTTTAAACCACCACAGAATAAAACTGGGGACTTTTGTGTTAAAGTTCATTGTTTACGCACTTTTTGTGAACTAGAATAGAAAGCTCTCAAAAGCTCAGACAGCTTGTCCTAGTTAAGTGTAACAAATGCAGATGAGGACTCCACCCATATATGTATCATTTCAAAAGTTCCAGAAACTTCCAAGAATTAAAAAAAGACAATAAAACTGCAGAAACAGTCACAAATAATTTTAGATGTCATTTAATAAGACCAAGAAAGTCACAGTTTTCTTCATGTTCAAGCAACACAGTACAGTATTAAGGGCATAAGCAATGTGTCACCCACATGTAGCTCTGGCAGCTCAACACGGACATGGAACACATCTCAGTTGCTCAGACCATATGGCTTTGCAAAATGAAAACATGTCGATGTCACTGCTTAAAGTAAACGTTGCATACACGAGGTGCATTCATCATACAGACTCAAATCTGACAACAGGCAAAAGCTTTGTCACAGGTAGCCATAATCAAGAGATAGTGTTGAGAGATAAGATCGGAACAGAAGTAGCCTTGAACTTAATAAGTTGTTCTTCATACTTTTCGTGATTATGTCAAACACAAAGAGCTACATTAGAAATCAGTCAGTTTTAGTTAAATGGGAAAAGAACGGGCGCTCTGAGGTGAGGCAACAGGTTGATCAGCAAAGTTGCTGATGATGTCCTCTTTCTATTTTAGCTCCAACTCGAGCCCAGTACAAGACTGAGAAGTAGCAGGCTCAGGGAGAAGCAGGTTGTGGAGGCGGAGGCCTTGATGCTCTGAGTCCAGACTTTCTGTGCAGGCTGCAGGCTTCTGTAGACGTTTATCATGATTGGTGATGAACTGTCGTTGAAGTGCAGTGTGGTGCTGAAGAGGTCAATCTGGTAGTGAGACATATTTTGTTTCCAGTTAGCTCCATGAACCACTAACGGTGCATCTGTGCTCACAGCAATGATAATTAGGAGACACAAGGAAGAAATGAAATAACACCTACCAGATCTTTACTGACTTTAATTGGTTCCTTAAAAACGGTCCAGACCACCGCCTCCTGACAAGCGGGGGTCGTCAAGGATCCAAGGTAGCGGTAATACTTAGTGCGATCCACACCGACAAGCAGGTCGTCCAGGGAAAACCCGGCTGCAATTGAAACGTTCTGGCCTGAGGACAGAAACAAGACTTACATGAAGGAACTATGGGTGACACAATTTAGAGTCAGAAAGAGAAGAGGAGGTTTTCCACCAAAAAAAAAGTCACCTTTTTCTGTGATGTTGGGCAAGTAAGAAGCCAAATTGTGCCAGCTATCCGGCTGGCCAGTTGAGTTGCCTGACATTACCTGGAAGAAAAAGAAAGGGGTATTGACGCATTCCCCATAACAGACGAGGAAAGAGACCCCCCCCCCCCCCCCCCCCCCCCCCAAAATAAATAAATAAATAAATAAATAAATAAATAAATAAATAAATAAAAAATCGAGTGGGGCCTCAATACTGAACAACACAGTAAGCATTACGTCATCTCGTGCACTGCTTCTCTCACCTCGATAAAGAAACCAAGCGCTGAAAGTCCGGTGGAGTCTTTGACGGCTAGATTTGTATTTCCATTGTAGGATGACTTGCTGTTCACAATATGCAGCTGCGAAAATGAAGTTATACAGACGTTTGCTTGTTTATTTCTGTTGGGTTTTTCTTTTTCTTTTTTGTTTTTTTTTTACAGATTTAAAATTAATATATTCAAAAATACACCAAAATAACAAGAAAAAAAAATCTGTGCCTCCATAGGATAGCGCTTTCCATCCACTGTGTGCTCTGAGCCGGGGACAGAGGAGCCATTACCCCAGTGCAAGTGAAACTGGAGGCTGTCGTATTGCTCGGACAGGTCCCCTCCTGAAATCTTAACTCCGCTCTCAAGGGTCACTTTGACTGAAAGAAGGTGAAAAAACAAAAACACGATAAAGTTACAGCTAACCTGCGAGGAGTCAGAGGAAACATTCAGGCGCAAGGCCAGTGCGTTTAATTGCAGAAAAGATGAGGGCGCTAAAATCTAAGTGAGATACAAAGTTTACAGAAACCCCATGACAACACACTTTTGTAGCCACAAACTCCCGGTGCTCACCTGTGTCGCCAGTATTTGTCATTGACGTCATTGCGGAGGTGTCGTCATACTTCACAAAAGTGAATTCAGTCAGATTGGCGTTCGGTGTGGCTGATGCTGAGACGATGTCAATGGGTGACTGTCGGGTGCCGTTGCAATACTCCGGGAAAATTGTTGGCCAGGTTGTGTCATCTATAAACAGAAAGGACACGTAAAGTCACCGAGGAGGGGTCACTCGGTGGGCAACATTATAATAGATAATGGAGATATTGGGTACTTACTGCAGGATGGGAGGTGATAACACCAGGCTGGATGAAAAAAAAAAGAAGGGGGTGAAAAAACAGAACATTTAGATTCACATAATTAGAAATTCAGTGTAACAGTAAATTCCTAAATGAAGTACACACCTTTTGATTGGGAGTGAGCGGTGGGTACGAGGACGCACACAGCAAGGGTAACAACTTCAAACCACTTCATCTGAAACGACCAAAAAGCCACATTGTTTGGAATCGCATATATTTAAAAAAAAAAAATAAATAATAAATTAAATCAAAATAATCGGAAAAAAAATGTACAACACAGAAAAGAATAATTGGTTAATTAATATAGTATTCCGATTCTGCATGAATGAATGAATTCATTAATTAACAGGTTACTATATGGAGTGACAAATTTACCTTTATATAAACTTTGACGATTAATTTCTAAAAGTTAACCAATTTTATTTGTAGTGCTGCAGTTTGCTGTTAATAGAGAAAAGAATGCAACAAATGCAGGTTTCTGACTGTAGCCTAATTTTTTCTTTTGTCCACTTCACCTGAGCAGCACAGTGTCTTACCTTTGATACACCTGTGCGTCCGTTCAGCCTGTTTTCAGATGCAGCTCACCTCTTTTTATTTCCTCAGTGCATCTTGCAGCTGGCCCGGCTCCACCTCCATGGGACACGTGAGTAGGTCTTTATCTCTCCGCAATAATTTCGCGGAAGTACGAGGGGGTATTATGGCGACTTTAATTTAAAAAAAAAAAAGAAAGAAAAATCGACCTTTTTAAGAATAAAGATTACATTTCGAGATTAAAGTCGTAATTCTGTTTTGAGAAAAAAAAAGTGGAGATGTATGTCGTTATTTCAAGACAAACTGGCGAGTTAGTGAAATCGTATTTCAGAATCGGTTTTCGTAACAAGGAAAGAAATCTTTTTTTTCTTTTAGCACATTAACAAATTGTGGTTGTCATTATAAGGACGTTGAAAAGATAAAGAAAGCTGCATCTTGGTCAGACAAAAAACCCACACAACTTATGGTTATGATGGTTACAGCCTCATGGAATAAAGAGGATGCATGTTTTATAACAAGACGGCTGATCAGTCTCAACAAGGCATTTTGTAAATGGTATATGTCATCCAGGGAAGGACGGATGTTGTTTTACTTTGCTGTGTTTTAATGTGAAGTGTGCTTATTTATTTTTTATATTGCATGTTTTGGTTATATCTTGTGGAGTGTTTTATTTATCCTGCATGTTTTGGTTGCATCTGTCAATTTGTCCTGGAGAGACTCCGCCCTTTTTCCCGTTTTACTAATTTGACACACCTGAGAGGAAAGGGAGTGGTAATTTACAGAGAGTGCTCAGTGACACATAAGACTGTGTGGAGCTTGGCGTTCAGAGGAGGAGGAGGAGGAGGAGGATGAGGATGAGGATGATACAGATACAGATACAGATACAGCGCCAGCAAGCAGGGACGCGGAGCGAGCGGTTCGACTGCTGCAGCAACAGGAGGCCAGATTACACGTCTGCGGGAAATTGGAGGCGGCATATATGGGCCGGTGCCGATTGGCGGTTACAAAGAAACGACAGGCAGAGTTGAGAGCTCTGCCCACCCGAGGTAAGTCTTTTGACTTGTCCCCTTTAATGAATGATAGCTGCCTAAAACAGTAGTGACTGCCGCTGCCTTTCTTTCTTTAGCGCACTGGGGCGCAGAACGCGGAGAGGAAGGCGAGGACGCCGCCGGGTTTCCCTTCTGCACCGCTCCACTGGATTTTTAATTCTTTGTGACTTTTATACCGTGGCGGACGCCACTGGACTTTTAATGTTGTTTTTTATTCATTTTTATTGTGTTGTCCCCTGGCCAGGGTTGTTTTCATTCATTTTATATTTTTAACAATTTAAATATAATAAATTATATTTTAACTATACAGTTTTTAATTCGTGTGCTTTCCCTTGGCGGCTCCACTGCTCTGTCCCTTTGGAGGAAGGTTTCCCTCCATTAAAAAACACTGTGGAAAAAATAAAATCACCTTCGCTCCGTTACATATAGCAAACTTTTTTTCCTCAAAATACTTTCTTGAATTCAATTTCAAAATGATCACAATGATATTTTTTTCTTAATGTGGTGATTTCATTTATTGTTATACTCAAGGAAGAACTGTGCAGTGAACAAGAATCTCCTCTGTCTGTATAGCCCTCAGAGAGCACTAAGATCATCGGGCCAACTGCTCTTAGTGCAACCTAGGTCTCGGCTGAAGACCAGAGGAGACCGTGCCTTTGCCGTTGCCCCCAGGTTATGGAATACTCTTCCTCTTCATATTCGCGCATCAGATTCCATTCAGTCTTTTAAATCACGTCTAAAAACGTATTTGTTTAACCTGGCATTCAAGGCGAATTAGGGTAATTTACATCTGGCTTTGCATTTAGATTATGTAATTATTTTATTTATATCTGTAATTTATATTTTATATTGTGATTTTTATCTGTATCATGATTTTACTGGAAAGCACTTTGGTGTACTTTGGTCTTTAAAAATGTGCTATATAAATAAATTTTGATTGATTGAAGAATGACAACCGTTTGACTGTTACACTGCGTGTGCGGGGGAGAATCACAGTCTATTTGTGTTTTTGAATGATTGTGTGCAGGGGTGGTCCTAGCCTGTCTGGTGCCCTGAGTGAACTGTCCTTCCCCCAAACAAACACTACTTTTCTCTTATTTTCCAAACTGAGGGCCTGATGGCTTCGATCTTTTCTTGTCCATCTTCCATCAGTAATTTTCCACTCCAATATCAACACCAAACCCCACTTTAGCTGATCAACATTTAGCAAGCTAACCTTCATCAGATTAACACACCTTTAATAAGTAAATCCAATATGTTTTTAAATATATTCTACTTAACATTTTCCATAATCAGTGTTGGGACTAACACGTTATTAAGTAACGCGTTACAGTAACTACGTTATTATTGTGGTAACGAGCACGGTAACTAGTTATTATGCCAAAATCAGGAACGTGTTAGTCGTTACTGGGATTTAGATAGGGTCATTACTTTGTGTGGTGGCTATCGCGGAGCTTCCACAGATTCAGTAACATTAGCAAGTGGTGGAGACCAGCAGGTGGATGAGGGAAAGGGGAGGCAGGAGGAGGAGAGACCCGAGGTGGCCGCTGGTCCGAGTGTCAGGTGAACTGAACTTCAGGTAAGAAGTTATGACCTGCAGTCTATCTGGGTCAGATATAAACCAAGTTTAGGTGGAGTTTATTTTCATTATGCTGACTTTTTCCGTTCTGCGTACTAGCTAGCATGACGGTATTTCTATACAGCTGGGTGGGTGCTATGATGTTGAACTTTATTTTGTTCATAAGGTTAGTTAGCAGAGTTGCCAACCATCCCGTAAAAAACAGAATCGCCTCATATTCAGAGAAAATATTACGCGTTTCGTATCAAGGTGAAAAGGAACGCAGTTTGTCCTGTACTTCAGCTAGAATGTCAGCGTCTCTACCACCTCAGACACTTGAGAGACTTCCAACTGCCCTCCAAGGTGCTCAGGAACTTTTACTCGTGCACCATAGAGAGCATCCTGACGGGAAACACCTTAACCTGGTTCGGGAGCAGCACCATGCAGGACAGACGAGCTCTACAGAGGGTTGTGCGATCAGCTGAGCGCACCATCCGCTCCGAGCTCCCTGACCTGCACTCAATCTACAGCAGACGGTGCTGGACCAAGGCCAGGAAGATCGTGAAGGACCTCAGCCATCCCAACAACAGACTGTTCTCTCTGTTGAGGTCACGAAAGCGATTCCGCTCCCTGAAGACCAACACAGAGAGACTGAGGAGGAGCTTCAGGCGATACGGTTTCTCAATCACACCACCACACAGTACTGACCCACACATATAGTTCTTACACACACACTGAACATTCTGGACATTGTTTTCACTTCATCACTTAAATCACTTTAAGCATATTTGCAATGCACAAGACATAATGTGGATTGCACAACACTGGTCACTATATTCTTCATTTCCAGTTAATACTTGTACAGCTGCTGTTATTGTGTATATATTTATTTATTTATTTATATTCCTTCATACATTCTTATATAGTTCTATACTGTGTATTGTGTATTTTGTTGTACAGTTATTTTATTTTCAACTTTAATTTATATATTTTATCTTTTTCTTTCCCAGTTAAATTTACCCTTCATTCTAATTTGTGTTGTACAGTTATTTCATTTTTAACCTAATTTATATTTTATTCCTTCCTAGTTAAATTTACCCTTTTTAATTTTTCATATTTATTTCCTTTCTTATTCATAGCCTTTTCCTTATTTTTTTTTCTTTAGGTCACGAGCAGTTGTCTAAGCATTTCACTGCATATCGTACTGTGTATGACTGTGTACGTGACAAATGAAATTTGAATTTGAATTTTGAGAATGGAAAAAGACACAAAGCTGGAGTTATTCTGTGTTTATGCTGCACAGCTGCCTCTTCTTCTCTCATTCTCTCCCCCTCCCTCTCCTGTTTCTACTTCAATCATGAAACTGATCAATGATCAGCTGATTGGCTTTTCTCTCTTGTTTGTTTATCACCCACTTTGCGCCAGAAAGAGGAAACCAGCGGATGTCGCGCTAAACAACAGCAGCACGTTTAAGCTTGATCAGCTGTTGTTAGAATTTATTTAATATTAATTTCTAGTATCACCTGATGTTTGCTGGAGCCACAGCTGTAAAAGCTGCTGGTCATGTCGGTTTGGTTATCCGGTGAGAGGGAAACATGAAGACGAAACCAGGAGAGGTCCTTACTGAATCATCAGAGCTGAACAGGTGATAGAAAAACAGGTTTACCTTTTAGATCACATGAATGAGTTGAAGGGAAGTTATGACTGAGAGACAAATAACACCAGGATCCTTTTTTACGTAGCTGACAGCTGGTAACTGTGCAGGGGCGGATCTAGCAAAGTTTTGCCATGGGGCCAGGTAGGGCATTAACAGGGAGAGGGGGGCACAAGGAAATACTTTTCTTTCTTATTCTCATTTAAAATATCTAGCTTTTAAAAAATAATTATCTGAATCTTACAACAAACGATTGATAGATTGATACATATATACCATCAAAACTGTGTACATCACTGTCACAACAGTGTTTGTTTTCATTCAAAGGCTTTATGATTTTTCCTGTAATGGCAGGCCGGTCTCTAGTCAAAATCCCCGGGCCGATTTTCTTTGTCCCAAACCAGCCCTGTATGCAGCTCATCTGCAGTCTGGTGTTGCCTACATCTTCCTATTCGGAAGGCAGAATTTCCGAGTTCTGAGTACAATCGAAAGCACCAGTTTTTGTGTTGGATCTAAAAAGCGCACCTGACGCTGTGACGTAGGCTAGAATCATGGTGGCGGTCAACAACGGTCCAGGCGTGGGATTTCTCTCGTGGAAATATGCACATTATTTTTTTCTTTCTATTGGTAGGTGGCACAGTGCACTTGTGGCAAGTAAGCAAGCTAGACTACTGACAGTCTTGCTGGGTATCCAGCTACGGAAGCAAGACATTTACAAGAGAATTCTGAGAAAAACCAAAGTTACTTTCCCTAG